ACATATAAAATCTCTCCATAGCTGCCCACTCAATCACAAGGTGAGAAAACAACAGGTACATTCAGCTTTAATGGAATAATCATCAGTTCTATGTACAGCTATAACAGAGGGAAAACCAGATACAAGAGAGGATGCAAACCCAACCCCTGACATGGAGCGAGTCACAGGGCAGGGCTGGAATGGGCAATTCTGCCATTCTCCTCCTTTTTTGAAGACATGTTTCACCTAAAAGGCAATACTGAAATAACACCAAATCCTCCCAAAACAGCTTAGCAGGCTGACAGAGGATGACAGCCTGGCCCTGTGGGGTAATTTTGTGTTTATTTACTAAAGCTTGGGCATCCTCCTCTGCAGCTGGCTGCAGTGGGATCCCACAGCAATGCTGCAGCCCTTTGCTCAGCACCAGCCTGCCACAGTGCCCAGTGTAACCCCGTAAGCCTCTCCCAGCATCAGGATGGCTCTTCCCGGGGTGCTGTGGCAGCTCCAAAGGTACATCTAAAAGTCCTTTAAAAGTCCCTTTTTCAAAACTATGGCAAAATACCTGGAAGGACCAGTATGAAGTACAAAGCCATTAAAATTGTACACACTGAATTATCAATAGCTGATAACTTAATAAACAAATTCACAGGAAAAAAAAGACTTTTTTTTTTTTCTTTACCACCCTCTGGGTTTTTTTAAGTTTTACTTGCACAGAGATAAGCTGTGGCTCTCGTGCTCGCAGTCCTCTCGTGACATCAAGATGTTTTATCAAGGTTTAAAACATGTTTTTGTGCACCAGGTACGAGGGACAGGTACAGCCCTTGTATTTTAGCAGGAATCCAAAGTCTGTGCTGGGAAGGGAAATCTCAGCTCATGGTCAGTGAGCAATTGCCAAGCACAGCTGCTATTTCTGTGCCGGCTGAGGAACACGCAGGAGAATTTTCTCAGAGGAACACGCTGCCTTGCCCACAGCTGGACACAAATCGCAGCCACGCAGATGCAATCCCATGTTACTAAAAGGCCCCTTTCTCCTGGAGTGCTGGTAGCTGGAGGTGATGCTCACACACACACACACACGCTGCTCCGGTGCGAACCCCTCGGGGCAGGGCAGTTCGCGGGGATTGACAGCAGGAGGCTCGTCCTGGCATTTCCCAGCCATGTCCTCAGGCCCTCATGTCAGGACTTTTTTTTCCCCTGAGGACTTTGGTAAGATTGCTCCAGCATTTCCCTGCGTGTTTCAGAGCGAGCTACATGGCGTGCCAGAGCCATGGCAGCGAGCCGGGCACACCGCACGATTCCCAAGGGATGCCTGGGCTGGATGAGGGCGGGAGGGCTCCGAGCGGGGAGCGGTGCGGGACGGGCTCCGCCAGCAGCCGGGGGTGCCAGCGGCACTGCGTCCTAATCGCAGCGATCCCGGCAGCACACTGCAGCTTCCCAAACTGTGCTGACTGCTAACACGCATGCAGCTCACTGCTATTTATATCACATGCCATGTATAAAAAAATATGCTACATCTGAGGAGAGCTTCAGCACGACACCGGCATGGGGACGGAGGGAGGGAGGGAAGGAGGAGAGGGGCTGCCTGCGGCAGGGCTGCTCCCGCCCAGCCCACGCCCGGGATGCCGCAGGGAATTTTTCCCGTTGAGTTCGATGGTGCGGGAAAGGCTCCCCCAGCAGACGAGGCGCTGTGGCTCTCTTGGCGTTCGCGCAGCCCGGGGTCAGCAAGGCGAGGCTGATGCTGAGCTCTAGCGTGTCTGGAGATGCACAGGCTGCTCCTGACGGGGAGAGGCCGAAGGAAGGAGAGAGCTCGCTGGAACCCGGCGGCTTCGTGCCGCAGCAGTGACCGCGGTTCCCGGCGCCCGTGCGTAGCGAGGGCCGGTTCACAGGACAAAACACAGCCTGGCATCGATGTTTTCTTGTTAATATTGCAGACACTTCGCTCTTCCTCATCTGCAATAAAGGCCCAGCAAGCCTCCAGCTGTTTCAGCGTGCCCCGAGTCCAGCCCAGCAGCAGGTCGGGCACTCACTGCCTCTCAGGGCCGTTCTTCCAACACTTGGTATGTACAGATCCACAGCACGAACAGCGGGGAAACAGGGCATGGGTGACAGCAGAAATGTGGCCTTGACATAAATGTGCCAATAAGTGAAAATACAGTCACTGTAACACCTTAATTTTTCCGCAGCTGTGGTCAGTGGTGCTGTCTGAAGCCCCAGGGGACACGCTGCTCTCAGCAGGGTCTGCCCACGTCCCGGGATCCGTTTCACATAGACACAACTGAACGGGCATGCAGAATTAACTACAGAATTAACTGGGAGCTCTCCCAGCTCTCCACACACCCCGCAGGCCAAATGGAGCTTGAAATCACTCTCTCTGCCCTTTCTCTCTGGGGCAAGGCTGCCATCACAGAAAGCTGTTGTGCTTGTTCTGTTCCAGGGCCATTTCGTTGACCAGCTGCTCTATGGATGACTGAATGGCCGCCTTCACGAGGGAGGAGGCGGTTTCTATGAGGAGCAGCTCGTACTGCTCCCCAGTTCTGTGCCCCTGGTCACCCAGACCTTTCTCCTCTGCCTGGGGACCACCACCAGCCTCAGGGCCCTCTTTTTGGCCAACATCAGTGTTCCTGTTTGATTTTTTATTCCCTTTTTGCTTTTTTTGGTGCAAAACTGGGGATGGCTCATAGCCCTGGTCAGAGTCGGTGTTGTCAGAGTCCTCAGCTTCGGTGATGGTGATGACGATGCTGACACCAGCACCTGCATTTGCTTCTAGTATCTGACGGCTGGAGCATTCCTGCACACTTGCTGCATCCTCCACACTCACTGCATCCTGCACACTTGCTACATCCTGCACACTTGCTGCATCCTGCACACTCGCTGCATCCTGCACACTTGCTGTATCCTGGGCACTCGCTGTCTCCTGCACACTCACTGCTTCCTGCACACTTGTGGCATCCTGCAAGCTTGCTGTATCTTGCACACTCACTGCATCCTTAACACTTGCTGCATCCTGCACAATCACTGCCTCCTGCACACTCGCTGCATCCTGCACACTCACTGCATCCTTCATGCTTGCTGCATCCTGGGCACTCGCTTTCTCCTGCACACTCACTGCATCCTGCACACTTGTGGCATCCTGCAAGCTTGCTGTATCTTGCACACTCACTGCATCCTTAACACTTGCTGCATCCTGCACAATCACTGCCTCCTGCACACTCACTGCTTCCTGCACACTTGTGGCATCCTGCAAGCTTGCTGTATCTTTCAGACTCACTGCGTCCTTCACACTTGCTGCATCCTTCACACTCACTGCTTCCTGCACACTCACTGCCTCCTGTGCACTCTCTGCATCCTGCACACTTGTGGCATCCTGCATGCTTGCTGCATCCTGCACACTCGCTGCATCCTGCACATTCGTGGTGTCCTTCACACTCTCTGCATCCTGCACACTCATGGCATCCTGCACATTTTCTGCCTCTTGCACACTCATTGCCTCTTGCACACTCACTGCATCCTTCACACTTGCTGCCTCCTGCACACTCGCTGCATCACCTCCAGATGCCAACTCACTGAAATCAGTTACAGACTCCTCGGCTTTGCACTCTTTAGAAAGATTTATGCTCTTTTCCAATTCATCCCTTTCAGGCATCTCTTTGCAGATATGAGGGATTTCCTGCCACTCTGTGATTTCAGGGGCATTGTCAGGTTGATCTTTAGAAACAGCTTCGGGAGCAACTTCCCTGCCCTCCACATCATCGGTGGTTTGGGGCAGACTCCCTTCCTGCAGCTTGTCCTGGGCTGTTTCATCAAATGTCTCTGAATTGGTTATCTCCAACTGAACAGTGCACTCTGAATGTTCTGCATCACGTGTGGGCTCTGTTGAGGGCTCACTCTTCCCAACAGAGGTGTCACTTTCCTTTTCTGTATGGCTGTCCTCTTTCACTGTATCCTGGTCCTCTTTCATTGTATCCTGGTCCTTCTTCACTGTATCCTGGTCCTCCTTCATTCTATGCTGCTCTTGCTTTGCCATATCCTTCTCCTCCTGGGCAGAGACTGGGCTGAGGGATTCAGATTTGTCTGTCGGGGCCAAATCCTCTGGCTCTTCACTAGCCTTATTCACAACACCCATCACTTCATTTGCTTGAACACTGCCCTCTGACTCCTCCACTGCTTCTGAGGGGCTGGGTTTTTTCTTACCTCTGGAGAACCTCACACAGGGCATCTTCACCCCAGAGCTCGCTCGTTTCTTTGGGAGGTCTTGTGCACAGCTGTCCTCAGCATCCACCTCCAGCTGCACTTGGGAATCAGAGGGCACCTTCTTCCGTGAGGAGGACTTCTGCCTTCTCTGAGGTCTGGCAAGGTTTTTGATGGCTGCCCAGGTTCCTTTGGAGGATCGTGATGGATTGGAAGCTTTGGCCTCCTCTTGGTCAGCGCTGACACATTGGCTTTTCTCCTCTGAGGCTCCTTCACATGCATCCTTCACAGTCAGCCCTTTCTTACAGGACTTCTTCCGCTTCTTAAAACAGAGCATGGAGGGTTTTTTTGCTTGTTCCTCTGGTGGGGAACATGTGGCCCCCGTGCTGGGAGTCTCTGCCTCTCTTGGGTTCTCCATTTCAATTTCCTTAGCTGCCTTCACCATATTCTCCTCTCTTTTGTTGGTGTTGTGCTGCCGATTTTCCTAATCAATGCTTCAGACACAAGAACTGCAGAGACGCTCAAAGTGCATTTTTTTCCTCAAATAGATTTCCAAATAATGTTAGTTGCTTTGTAACGAGCGTATGTGGCAGTGAGAAGTTCTGCTGGAGCTGTCACATCCACTTTGTAACTCCCACTTTGCCTTATTACTCACTTTATCACCTCTCCAAGGAATCCCGGGTAGATGTGCAGTTGAACAGGCTTCTCCTTGGCTTTGCTGGCCTCAGTCACTCTCATCTCTGGAGCAACCCACTTCCAGTTGTGCTTGGTCTAACTGTATAATGGCCAGTCTCACATACCTTTTTTTTTCCCCCAAAGGATGACAAATCAAGCCAAGAATTAACAATTTTTATTCACGCCACGGACCTGGAGGGAACTTGCACTTTGTGAGCTCTCTGCAATTCCACATTGCCCAGGGAGCTTGATCGAAGCACCAGTGGAACCAGCGGCTGTTTTCTGCCCCCCAGTGACAAGGTCAGATGCTGCTTTGCCTTGGCTTTGGTTTCTGCTTCAGTTCCCCTCGAGTGTTACATGAAATTTGCTGCAAAGCATGACCGAGGCTTTCATCTTTTTATCTGGAACACAATAAATGAGTGATAAGACCCGTAGAGAAATTTTTAAAAAGTACTAAAAAGTTTTTTCTCCCTAAACATTTCGTTTTGGGAGGCAGACCAGGGCTGGATGCACTATAGCAGGTTTTTCTCACTAATTAGCATCAATATCCAAAGGCAAAATAAGGCCACAAGATGTCAACCCAGTGATGTTCCATCACAGAAAGTAATATTTTGCTATTTTATGAGGTAAAAAGGGATTTTTTTTTATATAACTGCCCATATTATGGTGAATACTTATTACACAGGCACACACATATTTCCTTCTCCTACGGTTTGCTAAATCCTTTCCCCACTGCTCCATATGCACTTATAGTTCCAGCTAGGGAAATTACACCCTGAGACAGCAGATATTTTTATCTTTAATGCACCATATGACAATATGCAAAAACAGAGAATACAAAAAGGAGGCTTGAGGAATACAAAAGCGAAATCACATGGCAAGAAGGGAGCTTATTTATACTACGTGCATGCCTCCCATGGCAACCTCAATTAACACCGTGTGTGCTCATCAAAGACATGATGTTGTAAGATGTGTGTCAACCTGTCAACCTTAGCAAAAAAAAAAAAAAAAAAAAAAAAAAAAAAAAAAAAAAAGAGCTCTACCTCGAAATATCATCAGAACCTTTTGGATAGAACGATGCAAAAAGGTGTTACCACAAGCAGACCAACTTCTGCAGGACGGGCTCGGGGTCTCCGGGCAGGGCTTTACACGGCATTTCGTGCTCTGCTTTTCAGGAGCAGGGTGATTAAAAGGGGGTTCCGGGCCACGCTTCCCCCGCAGCACATCTGGGTTTTTTTTAAAAAATGGTTATTATTTTAATGAGGCTATTTTAAGGGGAAAGCGAGCGGAGCTGTCAGAGCCGTGTGAGCGCGCACCCGCAGCAGCCGGTGCCCCGAGCGCATCCCGCAGCCCGGCTCCGCCGCCCCCGCGCCCGGGAAGTTTTGGGGGCGTCCGCGGGTGCGCAGCAGGACCCGCCCGGCAGCGCCGCTCCCCCGCCCGGCCGCGGGGAGCCCCCCACGGCCGGACCCCTCCGGGGCTCCGAGGGCAGCCACCGCGGAGGCGGCCCCGGGACCCCGCAGGTGCCGCCGCCCCCGCGGTCCCCCCGAGGCGGAGCCGCCCCCGGCCCCGGCACCTGCTCGCCGCCTCCTTCCTCCGGTGGGAAAGCGTCGCTCCCTGCTCGGCGATCAGCATCCCCTTCCCCTGGCGGGGTAGCATCCCGCCCTGTGGCGGGACAGCACCGCTCTCCTGGCGGGGCAGGATCCCTCGCCCGCTGGCAGAGGAACCTTCCGTCCCCTCCCAGGCTGTGCGCAGCAGCTGCAGACCCGAAAACCGCCAACTTCAGCTCGAGGTGAAGGTCCTCCCAGAAATCGAGCTGCGGTTTGTAGCTTGGATGCCAGCGGCAGCAGGAGGCACTGTAAGGGAGCCCGGGGCACACCCCGCGGGAGGAGGCACCGCTGGGGGGTTCCTGGCTTTCTGCGAAGGGAGGGGGTCTTGCTCTTGGCAGCTGTTTTTTGTGTCCCACCTGAAACCTTCACAGCTTTCAGCACTCACTGTTGGAGGTGCTGCAGGAGCTGCACCTTTGGAGGTGGAGATAAGGACAGCCAGCTCTTGGCTTCAAACTAATCCATGCCCAAAACACCAGAGAAAGTGCCTCTTTCATCGGAGCCTTTCTTCTCTCCAAAGCAGCTGAGATCTGACTTAAAAAAATCACGTCTCCAGCTGTGATGATTGATGGGAGAGCCTCCAGAAAAAGGACTTCCCAGTGCAGCTGATGAACTACAGGAAACTGCAGTTGAGATGCCCGAACGTCCCCATTCATCTCCACGGGGAGCTGACGCCCACAAAGGCTTTACAGACATTAACTGCTTCACAGCACGTTTGCACACGAGAAACTGAGCAAAGCAGCACTCTGAACTTGCAAGTGGCTTCCAGTGTAGGCCAGGCTTAGAAAAAACACACATGGCCTCCCCCCTCCTCAGCTTCTTCATGGGGGAAAAAAGGTACAAAATGGATTAGTTGGGCTGAAACGCCAGCCAGGAGGGCAGAAAAAGTGCATTGAGCATCACAAGGAATTGCCTTTTTAAAAGCTCCCCTCTGAGATGTGTTTGCTCGCATTCACTCAGGATAATAAACTTCATTTGGAAACAGCTTCTCTCCTGAGGTGGGTGGTGGGTTCTAATTATGATCCACCTCTTTATTAAAGCCAAGTGAGGCCCTTCAATGCAAGGAGCTTTTCCCTCATTGCAGCTGGAGGCAGGAGGGAGGGAAGCAGACAATGAGGATGGCTAATGTGAGGCTGGGGAATGTGGTGGTGTGATGGAGGCAAGCTGCCATGAATTCCCTTGGGAGCACTTTGCATGGAATCCAATTATTCCTGACACTCCAGGGGCAGATGGCAGCACCAATGGCTGTGGTGAAAGGGAAATAAAAGGTAAGCAAAGGATCAGGTCAGAAGTTGGGTAAGCTGGACAGAAGATCCTGGCCCAGCTGGATCCTGTTTTCTTTCTGTGGTGCTGGTGACATGCAACAAGTCAACCAAGCAACACTTCTCCTCTTTCTTGCCCCCAGCACTACCTAAAACCATAAATCTGTGTTATTTCTTACAGGATGCGATGCAGTGCTCTCACAACAGCATAGCACGGGGGACGGATGGCCATAACACCAGCTAAGGACCAGGCCCACAAATACCCCACAGATTAGAAATTTGTACATAATTAGTTTTTTCTCTAAGCAACAGGAGGAGAAGAAAACCACTGAGTACTTAGCTAGGAGAAATTAAGTGTCCTCTGTGTCCTATTTGACAGGACAAGACCTAGCTGGGACCTTTAGCTACAAAGGAGAGTATTAAAAAAATAACCTATTTATGTATCCATCCTGCAAGAGAAAAGAGAGGTTAGAAGTGCAGGTTAGAAAACATTCCCCATTGATCTCTGGAGATGCTTGGGGCTATTTTTTTGGCCCTTGTGCTTTGTTGTTGTGCAGCAAACCCTTCAACAGCTCGTGCGTGATCCGGCGCTGTGCCTCACTGCAGGAGGGGGACTAGCAACCTCTTGAACCATCTCTCACAAGCACATGGCTATGATCTCATGCTAAACTAAAAGGAGGCTAATCTTAGCATAAATTTGCACTTATCCCATCTTTCATAAGCATAAAATGAAGGTGGAACACGGAGCACTTGCAGGAAAGCAGTGTAGCAGGGAAGATTAAATGTAGGAACTGACAGCAGACTTGGCAGCATCCGCTCTGGCACCCTGCTCCCAGGGAAGGCTGGGCCCTGGAGCTGCAGGTGAAGAGGCACCCTCGGCCAGGCTGGGGGGCTGGGCAGCAATGGGGGAACCCCTCCTGACCCCCTGCAAGGGCACTGAGGCTGCTCTCCTGCCTGCCAGGAAATCCTTGGCTGGATAACATCAAAAGGAACATTTTAGGAGGCTGTGAATGCATCTCAAATGCTCTCATAACCATTTTAAGTGTTCTGTCTGCTTGTGTCACAACCAGGTAACTTTTATGTAATTATTCTCCCCTCCTGAATAACTGAAGAAATAGAGATCTTTCTTTCCATATATATACATATTCACACACAGTATCTGTGTACTACAAATGCTCCCCTACGTTGGTGCACACCTACATCCTGATCCTCCCAGTTCTCACCAAATTTGGAATGTTTTCAGATTCAGTTCTGATACAAGCAGATGGGTCTCATGACTGTTAATTCAGATATTCTGCAGTCAGATGCAAGTATCTCACATTCACAGAATAATTCAGGTAGTTTATTTCCTACAGACAACATACATCATCTAGGGAAGGAAACCAGATTAAAACACACACCCCCTGGTGCATTGCAGGCTACTTATTACTGCAATAATCACTCCTACTTGTCAATACAATGATTGCTGTTGTGTGTAGTTAATCACATAAATAAATTCTAATTCAGTAATCTCAGTGCATACATTAAAACCCAAAAAGCACTTGAAGTATTTGCCAGTTTATTTGTATTAGTTAAAAAATTGTCAGCAATGCTATCTTCTTGTTACAAAATGATTTTTGGCTGCTAACAAAACCTGTTACAAATCACTTGATCACTGTTCACATTGTTTCTATTGATCAAAAAGGTACCTTCAGAAACAAGGCCTGTCAATGGTGTAACTGCACTTATGGTTGAGCAGGAAATGGTTCAAAGGACACATTTGGTAGAAGCCACAGATATGGGCCAGAGACCCAGTCCCTCCAGATCTGCTATCCAGGGCTCTCATTCCATTGACAGAAGAACACAGCAGTTGCAGCTGGGCTCGGGCTATCGATGTGGCTCAGGTGCCTGCAGGAGTAACTCCCAGCAGAAAGCAGGGTAAGCACTTGTGGAGAGCACTGGGAAGCGAAGGGATCCTCCCTGCTCCTCTGAAATGACACTGGAGCAGTGCCAGGGCACAGCAGGTTCTCCCAAGGTGCGAGAAGAGGAACAGAAGATTCCGTGTGGCAAAGGGGAAACTGCAGCCAGCACGACTTCTAAAGATGATGGATGCTGCAAAACCCTGATGGTTAAGACAATTAAAGTCCCAAGACTGCTTCAAACAGCTCCAGCTTTAGGATTTTTAATTATTAAAATCATGTCACTGAATCAAAAGAGATCATTAAACCCAAGCTTCTGTATCTGCTTCAGCTACAATCATGAAGTGGGAGGTCTGCAGAGGAAGTTTGCTTTATATGCTCAGTGTCAACTAGCTTGGAAAACAGCAGTTTAAAAATTATTACAGATTAAAAGTTACTGGTTGATTCCTCAGCACTCCTCCTTCCAGTCACTTCTTGAACTATATTCTCACTGATCTCTTGTTCTGACTTAATAAAAAAAAAAATCAGAGCACAGTTCCATTTACATGACTCATCAGGTGTTCTTCTGGGAGCTAAAAACAAAAATAAAATTTAATTACTATTATATAGTACTGCAGGCAACTTTCAGGCTGAATTATAATAAAATGTCATTTGGAAACATATGGCATAATATGGGATTGGCTTAACTCCATTATCTCAAGATCTTTGGAAAAACAAAACCCAAATATTGAAGGCCTTCAAGAAGGCACCAACCTTTGGTTTAACATTCCTTTCAGAAGAGCCCATTTACTTCTCCTGACACTGGGTCCAGGTCTATATCATAGAAGCAGGGTCTTGTAGGAAGTCCTGGCATAGTGCTCATCTGGACAACAAGAGACAGAATGTTAAAGTGGCAGTGGCAGCATTTTGGGCACAAGATCCAACACTGAAGACTTGGATGGCAATAGCAGCCTGAACACTAACAGACCAGAGAATGATGGTCATGGACTGTTTTGAAGCACCCCATGAGAACCAGAAACTCCTGGCTCAGTAGACAGATATGAAGTTTTTGCTTTTCATGAGGATTTTCTGCAGCTGCAAGTAACTGAGCCCAAGATTTGACAAAGTACTTGGTTATGCAGCTGACCAGTTCACTGTTGGAGGAGTGTTCATGGACTTTGCTGTGATGAGACAATTACTTCTGAAGTTTTTGGAGTATTAAAGTGAAGATACAAATTTGAATACAACTTTGCCAGCTGTAAAGTCTCAGCTGATTACAATTCCTTGAGAATCTAGAACTAGACATGTTAAATAATTAGGAATAATTACTAGAACACACTCAGAAGAGCTGCTCAGAGGCAGAACTGAACTCACAAAGCAGCTGCCAGCACTACTGCCTCAGGCCAGTCCTCTGCACTTGTCCCACTGCTGAGT